TGGATGGTGGATGGGTGATGGATGGATGGATAGATGAATGGATGGATGGATGGATGGTGGATGGATGGATGGATGGTGGATGGGTGATGGATGGATGATGGATGGATGGATAGATGAATGGATGGATGGATGGTGGATGGATGGATGGATGATGGATGGATGGATGGATGGATGATGGATGGATGGATAGATGAATGGATGAATGGATAGATGGATGGATGGATGGATAGATGGATGGATGGATGGTGGATGGATGGTTGGATGCATAAGTGGATTTAACAGGGTATCATATATTCCCAGGTGGACTTGAACTTCCTATCCTCTTCTACCTCCTTGAGTGCTAGGATTACAGGAGTGTCTCCTCATCTAGTTTATTCACGTCAATGATGTTGGGGGTTTTGCTCCTCAGTTCCCCACAAAGATCAATGTTAAATATTCTTACCAAGGGTAAATTACAGTTTCACAGAGTGAGGGGAACACACATGCATATACGCACAGACACACACACGCACACGCACGCACGCATGCAAAACACGTGTGCATGCGCACTTGCCTATGCAGTGACATCCTGGCCCCAGCACAAGTCTCCTGTGCTTGCTTTTGAAGCTGATGGTAGCAGGAGTGATTTCAGCGGAATCACTCCCACTGCTACCTGGAGGGCAAACAAGCCTTCACTCCAGCTTGTTATCCTTTGGTTTCTTGAACAAACATCTGTTTTGTGCTTCTCTGTGGGACTGCAAACCGAAAAGTGGCCCTAGAGCTATGAGGAACCAGGGCCTGGTTAACAGCGGCTTCAACTACAGGAAAGGTAGATGACTTTTTAAACAAAACCTACTTTGACATCTACGTCATCAATTCTCCTACATCTGATTAAAATCAGAGAGGAGATCTGTTTACTTTATCATGATTTGCACCTTCTAGAATAAAATATTAAAAAAAAAATTTGTGAGTGTGCAAGTGTGTGTGGTACATACGTGTGTTCTGGTCATGTTGTGGAAGCCAGAGATAACATAAGGTATCATTCCTCAGTTTAAATCTTTTTTAATAATTTTATTGTATTTTGTTTATTATTTGCGTGTGTGTATGTGTGCACACACACATGAATACATGCCACAGCCCGTGTTTGGTAGTCAGAGGACAATCTGTGAGAATTGGATCTCTTTCCACCATGTGAGTCCTGAGGTCACACTTAAGTTACTCACCAGGCTTGCTCAGCTGTGAGCTCCCACAGTATGCCCGTCTCCTCCCCACACTGGGATTACAGACACATACCACCAAACCCCGCTTTTTACATGGATGCTGGGCATCCGACCTGGGTCTTCATGCTTGCATATCTCCTCAGTCCCCAAAATTTTTATTTTTATTTTTTTAATTCACTATGGCCCTGGGCAAATTCCTCCTGTGCAATGGGACTATCTTAAAACGTCCAACTGTTGAGGAATGCCTAGCTCCTTCCTGGTCCAAGAAGCCTTTTCGTGTGAACTGCACGTTACTACATAAGAAAGCAAGCATCCTTCTCTGGGGGACACAGCATGTCCCACTAGCTGGGACACATGCTGGTAACACCGAGCCCCTTGAAGATTTGGATTTGGTTGAGAGGAAGAGTCCAGCTATCATGCCTCCTTCTGTTTCTCCAAACGGCTCCAGATTGACCTGAGACTTATCAGTACAGGCAGTCTCTCTGTGATTTCCACTACAGAAGGCTGCAGGCTGACTTGCTTGCATGAAGCCCCTGTCCCAAAGTTTGTGTGTGTGTGTGTGTGTGTGTGTGTGTGTGTGTGTGTGTGTGTGTAGGTTCTGTAAGGACAAGGAGAAATACTGACGCTGAACTTGTTTCTGCTCTAGGTGTTTATTGAGGGTCTGCTTGGCACTAGGACCATGTAATTAATGTACTGGGGATAAACCAGGGGCAAGAAAGAGTCTTTCCCATAATCCATCAGTAGAGGGAAAAGCCAGGCACTGTGAAGATGTGAGGGAGGGATGTCTGCTGAAGACCTCATGTCTGGGGAATTGGTCAACACCAGATGGATTTTTACCTCACAAAAGCAGAGTCTGGCCTTTACATTCTACAGCCCATTATCCTAATTGGACTGACAGCCTCCTTTTGAGTCGGCTATTGTCCGAGTCCCTGCTGCTTTGTTCATGGAAGGCAAAGCTGTGTGCCCAAGGCAGACATGCCAACAATTGTCCACAATCTGAGTACCAGAAAACACCACACACCCGAAGCTAATGGCTTCGCCGAGTCCTGGATCTTGAATGTGCTTTAGCTTTTTTCCCTGGTGGCTGCTGCTGATGGGATGGGACAGAGCCACTCGGCTAATGAGGAGCTGTTCTGTCCTCAACTCTAGCAGAAAATTAGCTGGCTTGTACCCGTCTCTCTTCCTGAGTCATGGACATTAACTGTTTGGAATTAGTTAATCAGCTTTGCTCTGTGCGAAAGAGGCAGCAGTACGGGGTAGTACTGAATGTTCTAGAAGGTTGTCCTGGGCATGCTGAGCTGATGTGGTTTAGAAATCCCTATTACCGGGAAGAAAAGGGGGGAGGAATTACCAGGTATCTCCATCGTTGGTTTCCCTGAAGTCGATCAGAGGCAAAACAAATTCACTCAAACCACCTCTTCTACTCATGATCTTTCACTTTCCACCTTGGAAACCAGAGTCAAGAGCTATTTGCTTAAGGATAGCCCCTAGTATAGTTTCATTTTCAAATGCTAACAGCCTTCAAGGGCAAGGTGAGCTAGGCTTAGAACCCCAAGAACTACTGTATGTTACTTATCTATTTCCTCACTTTGTTGTGTCACTCTTTACAAACAGGAAGAAGGTGGACAAGGGTCCTGCTGTGGGTATCTATAATGGCAATGTCAATACCCAGGTGCCCCAGACCAAAAGGTTCCAGAAAAAACGAAAGGACAATGATTCCCATGTGTATGCTGTCATTGACGACACCATGGTATACGGGCACTTGCTGCAGGACTTGGGTGGATCCTTCAGCCAACCAGAAGTGGACACCTACCGGCCCTTCCAGGGCCCCATGGGAGACTGCCCTCCCACCCCACCTCCTATATTCTCCAGGACCCCAACTGCAAAGTTCACTGCAGATGAGCTGGCTCCTAGTAGTCCTCCTGAGCCTGAGAGTGAACCCTACACCTTCTCACACCCCAACAAGGGGGAAGTCGGTGTCAGGGAGACTGGTATCCCTTTACTCAACATCCAGGGACCAGTGGAGACTGAAGAGTAATTTGGCCCCATTCCAAAGACTTTGCTGAGGTGCATGGCACCAGGCCTTGAGACATGCAGGACTGACCCAACCAGAAGTCAGAGGGAAGTGCAATCAGCTAGAAGGAAGAGTAGCTTTTGCCAGGTGCCATCAGTCTTGATCTTCTGGTGGACTGCTTCTGGTGATGAGCAAATCATGGCTTCTGATGGGGATGCTATCCAAAAGCTCAGGCCTTCCTGAACTCAGGTTGTGTTGGGGCTGGCCACAGGGACAGAAGAGAGACACGATCCACACAGACAGGATCACAGAGAGCCCTGGATTCCCAGTGATAAGCAGAGACTTAGCTGATCCCCCAGGAGGTCCACTTGAGGTCTCTGCTCTCACTGGAGTCCCATGGATGAGAATGACAATGTGCTTTTTTATTAGTAGTAATCGTATTTATTTGGCAGTCCTATATGTTTTTAAAAAGTTGGATGTTGAGCTGAGGGTATGGCCCCGTTGGTAAAGTGTTTCCCCGACATGCACAAAGCTCTGGGCTCCAGCCTCAGCACTGCATAAAAGCAGGCAGGATGGTGCACACGGGTAATCTCAGGAGGATCAGAATTTCAAGTCATCATCAAGAATGCAGTGAGTCGAAGGTTCGCCGCCCCTGGTTTATGCAAGATCCTCTTGAGAACACACACAGCTCCTTTGACCCCTGTAGTAATGACTTGTGCTAACTGGTTTGGACAGCTGTGCTTTGGTTTTTGCAGACCACTAGGTAAATATGCACCTGTGGGGAAGATGATGCTCTGTCTACCCGGAAGAGTATCTGTGTGTATGTATCTCTTACTCAGTAAGAGATTTCCCAGCCCTCTTTGACTGCATACATCTGTCTCCCTGCAGAATTTATCACAGATCCCCTTGTCCCCTACTCCTAGAAATAAGAGAGCATTCCTTGAGCTGCCCTGTGTGGTGGTGTGTGGCTCTCCCAGCTGCAGCAACACCTTGACATGTAAACAGAAAATTTGAGAATAATTTGATACTTTAAAAATATATAAATATGGGCAGTGGTGGTGCATACCTTTAGTCCCAGAACGCAGGAGACAAAGGCAGGCGGATCTCAGTGAGTTTAAAGCCAACCTGAACTATATAATGAGTTCTAGGATAGCCAGGGCTTTACAGAGAGACCCAGCTACACAGAGAAACCCTTTCTTGACAAAACAAAAAGCAAAAAGAAAAGAAATACTGTAATACACACACACACACACAAACACACACACAAACCAGAGAGTGGATGTCTGTATCAATTTCATAGTGGCTTAAAAACTGCAACAATACAGTTCTGGAGATCAGAATTCCCAAACTAGCTTGACTGAACTAAAATCAGGGTACGTTAAGGCTGTGTTTCCAAGGCTCTCAGCATTTCCTTGCCTTTCCCAGCACCTAGAAGCATCCCTGGCTGGGCAAGTCTGTCTATCTTGGTATGGCTGGTCACTAATTGATCTACTTGCTACTTTGACTTGCAGGTCCTGTGTAGTTTCCATATCAACAGCCTTAACTTAATCAGCTGGGAAAAGTCCCTTTACTGTGTTTCAAGCACAACATCCACTGGCTGGGAGGTGTGGGCATCTCTGAGGGTACGAGGAGGACATTGTTCTGCCTCTCCCATCCTCCTGCCACTGGTACTCAATGGAGAGCATACAAAATCACCCAGCCTAAAAAGTGTTTGGTTTAGCGCATATATATGTATGTGTGTGTATGTGTGTGTGTGTGTATAGCGCATATATATATATAAATTTTTTCCTAACAATCCAGCTCAGAGGACTTGCTCATGCTGGATACATATCCTTGACCAGAGATGCCCAGTTAAAGTGAGTCACAGGTGGCTCTGGCCCTCAAATAGGACATCCAGGGTAACTTAGTCCCCATCTTGCCTGGTTGCCTCTACTCTGTGGCTATGCACTTGTGGCTTAGATGGACACTGAATTGTATGAAAAGCAAAGGAGGGGCTTCCATCACTTGCAGAGTGAGGAGACAGCAAAAGTTCTTCCTGCCATGATGGAGAGGGAAAGCCATAGTCGTGTAGCTTAGCATATTACAGAGTTCAGGACTCTGACAAACATTCTCCAGGAAGTAAGTATGACTCGTGATGCTCAGGGAATTGACCTTGGAAAGGCTACATCTTGCACATGCAGCCTCTGAGACAGAGCCCCTGGCCCTCTTGAGTTCGCTCCAACAAGGAGAAGGCTCACTTTTTAATCATACCCTGGGGGTGGGGGGTGCTCATGCATCTTTTCTTTCTGAAAACTTTCCTCTAAGTCCTTTCCAGGAGAGAAGGTTGTCTCCTACCCAGCTACCCGAGGTGCTGATGACCCTCCATGAAGGGTCAGGGGCAGCTGTGGCGCCTTCTTTCACCTGGAATCATGCTGAGCAGGGGCTGTATGCTTGCTTTAATGCCTTCTCCCTTCAAGCGCCCCTGGAGGAGACAGTCAGTCTCTCGTGTTGGTCCTTACTGTGTGTCAGCCCAGTACTCTTCTACCTTGGCCCTGCTGACTTAGCACACACTGGCTGGGCCTGTGGCTGTGTATGGAAGGAAAAGGTTGACTCTTCCATGGGGACAAGCCAAAGTCCGTCAGCTGTAACCTCAGTACAGGTGGGAGGACCAGTCTGTGGATCTGCAAAGCATATATGAAAATTATTTATTTAATGACAGATAACATCATATTCATTTACTTTTATAAATAAACAGATATCAATGCATGTCCATTTGTTTAACGCTGCTGTCTGTGCCACTTCTGTAGAGGCACCTTGTTCAAACGCCATTTCTTTTCATAGGCCCCACATAGGACACGTGGCTGCCCTGTCCGATGTTCACCAAGGGTTTACTGCACAGGGAACCAGACGTTGTGCTGCCATCTCTTTGTCTGATGCCATGCCCAATGGGAAGCAGTCATTTTTGTCTGAAATGAAAATGAGACCTAGCCAGGCATGGTAATACAACAGGTGACCCTACACTAGGAGACTGAGGGAGAATTGTGAGTTCAAGGCTAACCTGGAATACATAGCAGGAAAAAAGTTTTACATTCTGCTGTCCGTTTTGAGGTCTATGGCAGCAGCAGTGGGGCAGGCCGGAAGTGAGGCAGGCCGAGCTGTAGTACCACCCACAGCAGCCCACATTATTCTTTTTTTCTATTAACCTTTTTTTTTTTTTTTTTTTTTAGTTTTTCGAAACAGGGTTTCTCTGTGTTGCCCCGGCTGTCCTGGAACTCACTCTGTAGACCAGGCTGGCCTCGAACTCAGAACTATGAACTATGCAGTGGGACAGTCCTTGAGGTAGAGGTGGGTAAAGAGTATTAGCTCAGAAACATTAGGGGATCCAGCTGCTACGTAGCCTACAGATCAGCTCAGGCAGGGCTGTGTGTGGATAGCGGACAACAAAGCAGTTGGTGTCTCAGGAAAGGAATGGGTCTGAGAGTAAGTTGTTCTTTAAGTTTGATACTTTAAGTAAGATACTTTAAGTTTGCAAAATATATTCACAAACATTAATTTCGCCTCAAACTCAGCCCTGAGCACATAAAAACTCCACAAACTCTGAACTGAGTAAGTTCTTAGAACCACCTGCTGCTCAAGGAAGCACAAACAGCTAGATTTGTCTTCTCTCTCACCCTCCAATCTCCTTCCTTCCGTATGGTATAAGGAAATCTAAGGAATGTTGCCCCAAATTGTGGTCAGACTCATGTTCATCTGCTTTCCACTTGAAAGCCAATACCCTCAAGACGAGTGTCGATGGGCAGGAAATCCAGTAACCTCAACAGTAACTGAGAGAACTAGGGGGTGGGGCAGGGACGGGGTAATCATCCACATGAAGGTCATCTTAGGGAAGTCAGGGACACAGAGACATTTTTATAGAGGCAGAAAGAATCATGAGAGTGACGGGAGGAAGACCATATTACCCAGATCTTTGTCAGCATATCCCACCCCACCCCCCAGTTCTGGCTGGAACATTCCAATGAAGCCTGACTTCTTGGTATTTTTCTACATATTCAACCTCTTAGCAATGTGGTTGTTCGTGTTAGCTGACGCAGAGCTAGACTCAGAGACGACGATTCCAGTGAATCGCCGGAAATGCTGGCTTTTGTTAGTTATTTAAAAAGATCACCGGTTAGCATCTGAATCATTTAGGTTTGGCTTTCCTCTGGAACTTACAAAGCTGGAGAATCGGAAGGGTAATCAACTGGTCAAATCTTACTATGATATGATTCTGACATTGCATTGACCTGGGGATATAGCTCAGTTGGTACTGTTTGCTTTGTACTGATAAGGCTCTGGGTTCTATGCCCAGCACTGCCAAAACAAAATGAACTATATGTCAGTGTGTACCCATATGTAGTTTGCTTCTTGTTTCTTACCAGCCTTATTAACAGCTCAAGGACAGTAGCTCATGGAAGGGGTCCAGTCTTACCTTTGGGCCATTCTTGGCAAATAAGTGAGCACTGTCACTACCGAGAGCCCCTCCTGGCCACCCTGTGTCTGTACACATCCTCCCCAGTACTGTACATGGCAAGCTGTCTGTCATCAGCATGTCGCTTGGGAGTTTGCACACAATGGATATTCAGAAAGAGTGATTGGAAATAACCGAATTGAATTCAAATGCCCAGAAAGATAAACGCCCCTTGCTTTAACACTACTAGCAATAAAACTCTTCATGCAAACCAAAGCAGATGCGATGCCATGTTCAATTACTGCTCAGGCCTTGGCAAAGATCTGAAGGGAAACGTTTATTCAAGGAATCAATGCTGGCAGCAATTGTAGCAAAAGTGCAATTTTTCATTTTAGAAATCAATGTCGCTGACTAGGAGGATGCAAATGAAACTTTTTTTCTTTAAACACCAAAAACAAAGGCTTTATTATCTCAGAGGGACCTTGTTATCAATCCATATAGCTAGGTTACTTAAAGTAATCTTACTGGACACTAGAAGTGTGTGACAAACTTATCATCATTGTTGGAGATTTCTGTTTGCCCATGTTTGTCAAAGAGGCTGTATTTGCAGGAGGGTCACAGGATTGCCTTTGGAGCAGAATCAAGGAGAGATCACACCCTAGATATGGAAGAATCTTCTACAGCACACAATTCCAAGTCTCCTCCTTCAGCTGAGCCTGAGGGATCATCATTAGTAAAAACATGCGGTTTCGTCACAAAATAAATCTTCCACAACATTCCTTCTGATTTTAGATGCTTATGTTTTGGTTTTGGTTTTGTTTGTGTTTTTCAAGACAGTATTTCTCTGTGTAGCCCTGGCTGTCCTGGAAGCTCTGTAGACCAGGATGACCTCAAACTTGCAGAGATCTACTTGCATCTGCTGCCCAAGTGCTGGGATTAAAGGCGTTCGCTGCCACCACCCAGCCGGCCACTTATAGTTTTTCCTAACCATGTGAAATGAAGGGCAACAGTTAGCTAATAGCAAATTTTGTGTCTTGTTTCCTATTTTATTCTTTATTTTAAATTATGTGTGTGTGTGTGTGTCTGTCTTTGCATGACTCTATGCCCGTGGCTGCAGGAACTTGTATAGGGGCCAAGGAGAAGGTAACAGATCCCCTGAAGTTCTAGGCAGTTGTGAGCCACCTAACCAGGTGCTTCAAAAACAAGCTGATGGTGGCGCACGCCTTTAATCCCAGCACTTGGGAGGCAGAGGCAGGTGGATTTCTGAGTTTGAGAGTTCGAGGCTAGCCTGGTCTACAGAGTGAGTTTCAGGACAGCCAGGGCTACACAGAGAAACCCTGTCTCGAAAAACAAACAAAACAAACAAACAAACAAAAAATCAAGCTCTGTCTTCTGCAAGTGCTTTTAACCACTGAGCCATCTCTCTGCCCCTTTGTTAACCAGAGATTGAGTTCAGAGCTTGGTTTGTGCAAGGCAGGTGCTTTACCACTGAGCTAAGAGCTAAGTCCTGAGCTTCTACTTCAACTTTATGATCCCCCGGCCTCAGCTTCCACACAAGTAGCTAGGTTTAAAGGCCCGTACAAGTAGGCCTGGCTACTGTCAGTATGCTTGTTTTTACTTACTGATTTTTGGTTGTTCTGGATTGGCCTGGTATGTTCTACGTAGCGCAAACTGGTTTTGTGGTTATAGCGATCCTTTCTCCTCAGCCTCTCAGGCGGTGGGCTTACGGATGTGAGCCCACCACATTCTACACTTGCTGCTTTTTATTTTTTCTGTCGTCTGTGTTCTCTCTCTCTCTCTCTCTCTCTCTCTCTCTCTCTCTCTCTCTCCCTCTGTCTCTCTCTCTCTCTTTGCCAATTTTTGACTTGTATTATGATATTCATTTATTTATTACAAGAACCATGGACTTCCTGTGTAACCCGAGCTGGCCTGGAACTCACAGCCTTTTTTGCATCAGCTTCTGGAATGCTAGGATTTGTGGTGTGGCCAAGGGTTTTCTATGGTGCTGAGGCCAGCCTTCCTGTGCCTTCTTCTCTCTCTCCCACTGCAGTTTCTCCGTCCCTGCCTCACTGTTCTTGGCTTTCAGTAATGCAGGCCCGTTTCCTAGGGAACAGGATGTCACAGAGGTTTATTTGATTATCATTCCTCAGAGAGATTTCCCCAACTCCTCTCGCATTCCATGCTTTATAGCACTTACATAATGCAAGGCATTACCTATCGATTGGCTTTTTGTTATTGCTTCTTCCAATTTCCAACCCACCAGAAGCCTGAAGCAAGCTCACTGCTTTATCCCCCAGGGCCTAGTTAGCACTCAGTAAATAATTCATTGCCTGACAGGATGAAGGGATGAATAACTGTAAGCCAAAATGACAAATTTACTTCCTGGTCAGGTGCTCATTCTGTCTTTGAGCGACACCTCCCAGGAAGCCAAGTTTACTCAGGTACAAAGGTCATGAGTCAGAACCTTAAGATGGAGAAAAAGATGGCAGCCATGAAGACCCTGAAGAAACTAGTGCTAAACACTGACTGGACAGCTCCTCCCTAGAACAAGAGCTTCTTGTCATTTATATAAGCATTAGAGGAGGGAGATAATCTGTCCCCCTCCTCTCCTAAAACTGAGTCTTTTTTTTTTTTTTATGGTTTTTCGAGACAGGGTTTCTCTGTGTATCCCTGGCTGTCCTGGAACTCACTCTGTAGACCAGGCTGGCCTCAAACTCAGAAATCCGCCTGCCTCTGCCTCCCAAGTGCTGGGATTAAAGGCGTGTGCCACCACTGCCTGGCTCTAAAAACTCTTGCCTTAACTTCTCAAATCTTGGGATTATAGGCATTTTACAACCTTACCTGGCTTCCTCCCTCGTGAGTTTCTAAATATCAGCAAGACCACAGCACTCACCCCCAATAAGGTTTGCCCATGTATCTGGGTACCTTACAGCTCAGTAAAGTTAAGACAAAACCATCTTAGCAACTTAGCAATCCAGTCAGGGGCTCAAGCAGGAAGCCAGACACATGTCATTAATGCCTTTGGCAGCTCTTTGATGTCTGAAGTGGAAACGAATTCCCACTTCTTTGACAACTTTAAAATTTGCTTTAAACTCAGTAGTAACTATTTATATTCAGCTGCGTGAACAAAACAAGGGCAACAGTTCAGCTCTTGGTTTCATGACCCTTGTTTCTAAGGTGCCTACTCATTCTAAAGCTCTAAGAACTGAGGCCTCCAGGTCTGAGCTACTGCTGAGACTGGCAGGAGTGAAATGTGCTGACTACACCCTGGAGTGACCTGGGGTGTAGAGGAAGCCACCATCACCACCAAGCAGCAGGGTCAGTGGCTCACACCAGCCTCACACCAGCCTCACGCTTTCTGATTGTAACCAGATACCTAACCAGCCAGGACCAACATGGCTAATACAGATCACAGCCTTCCTTAGTCAGTGTCCTGTTGCTATGAAGAGACACCATGACCATGGCAACTCTCATGAGAGAAAGTATTTAATTGGGGCTTGATTATAGTTTCAGAGGTTTAGTCCATTGTCATCACGGCAGGGGGCATAGTGACATGCAGTCAGACATTGTGCTGGAGAAGTAGCTAAATGTTCTACCTCTAATCTGCAAACAACAGGAAGAGAGAGACACTGGGCCTGGCATTGGCTCTTGAAATCTCAAAGCCTACCCCCCAAGGCCACACCTACCTCAGGAAGGCCACGCCTACCTCAGCAAGGCCACGCCTCCTAATCCTTCCAAGTTGTGCCACTCTCTGATGCCTAAACTCTCACTCTCTCCAGGTTGGTTCACCTGCAGCCCACACATCCAGGGTCAGCTTGACTGTGTTGTCCAGGCAAAGTGCAGGGGCCTGCTCTCCCAAGTGCTGCAGCAGGTGAGGGGCAGGGCCAATTCTCCTTGGGGCCAGCTCTCCTTCCTGCCATAGGTGGCAAGAGGTGAGGAGGTTGGTCATCTCTCCCACGCCCATGTCACCACATAGCAGACAAGGTACAGGGCCAGCTGTCCCAAGTGCTGTAGCAGGTGAGGGGCAGGGACAGCTCTCCTGCTCTCCCGACCCAGGACCACATCTCCCATCAAAGATAGTGAAGGGCGAGAGGGGAGAGGAGGGTATCTTTTCCTCATCCACGCCACCTCACAGAACATGAGTGTCGGGCTCAGGTCTCCTACACTCTTATTCTCGGGCTGGCTCACTCGAAGCTCCAGAAATTCGGAGTACAGCAGCTAGCTAGGGGCAGAATAAGCTCTCCTGATCTCATGACCCCAGGGCCGGCTCTCTCTCGATACCCAGGTGAGGGGCGGGGCCAGTTCTATACAGCTCTCAGACATCAACATGTTTCCAGGCACCTCAGACCAGAGACCTCTGCCTGTAACAGATCCCTGCTGCTGCAGGGCCACAAACCTGGACCCCAGTGGCAGCACAAGCCAGGACCCCACCATGGTCCCTGGTGGCATTGCTGAATATTCACAACAGGCTGTTCCTCACGACCCTCAAGTCTCCAGTTCTGTCTCTCCCCACTGTGCCATGTCCTTCTGTTTCTCTTTCTCTTCCATTTCTCCACCACTCACTTGCTCTTCTTAGTGGTGCCTGGGGTCTCTGAGTGTCTGGGATCATCTCAGGAGTGGCTTCAGGAGTGCTTTGTCCCACTTCTGCATTATGGTACAGGCAGAGGTTGTCTCAGGCTTGTTTTCTTTAGGGAATATTGGGCTTTGAATCATTCATATGTTCATAGGTCAGAACACTGAGCATAGCCATAGCCTCTCTCCTCTCTGCCACCTACTGACGCACATGTGACACAGCAGCCACACACTGAAACACCTCTAGGGGAAGAGGTATAGGTTTCTTAATCTATTCAGGACCTGCTAGAGGCAGATGCTAACATGGGGTCATATGTGAGGGACATTTCTGAGAGGAAGTGGCTCTGAAGAGAGAGGGGAGCCTGTATCATGAGAAACAAAAGAGTCCATGGGAGTGGGGCTGTTTTATGTTTATTTATTTTTGAGATAAGTCTCTTTATGTCAGCCAGGGAAGAATTAAATTTGCTGTCTTCCTATATCTGCTTCCCAAGGGTTGGAATTTCAGAGTGACTGCTCCTGGATCAAAGCTGAGGTTTTGTTTTGTTTTGCTTTTTTTGGTTTTGTTTTGTTTGGCTTTACAAGACAGGTTTTCTCTGTGTAGCCCTGGCTGTCCTGGAACTTACAGTCCAGACTGGCCTCCAATTCAGAGATCTGCAATCTGCCTTCCTAGTTCTGGGATTAAAGGTATGTGCCACCATGTCTGACTCAGTAAGAGATTTTTATTGTCGTTGTTGTTTGTTTGTTTGTTTGTTTGTTTGTTTTTCAAGATAGGGTTTCTCTGTGTCACCTTAGCTGTCCTGGAACTTACTCTGTAGACCAGGCTGGCCTCAAACTCAGAACTCAGAGGTCTCCTTTACTCTGAGAGGTTTTTAAGAGCCTTCATTGTACATCCTGAGTTTTAATGTGGGAATGTCTTTCCTGACAACTCATATTAAGAGACAGAATTGAAATCTTAATCATACACAGTCTTAGCTAGTGCTTCATGGGTCCTTCAGTGGCTTCCTTCACCAGGGGTGATTTGAGACCACAGGCCACATTGGCCGTGCTTTCAGACAATATAGTTGCCCCAACAGGAGCAGGTACTGATGTTTTGGATGGGCAGAAGTCAAGAACACTGCTGACAGCCTTTGACACACAGAATGCCCTATACCTACGTGTCTACTCAGCCAACAACAGTTCTGAGGTTAGGCAGCTCTTCCTGGCTTCTAGGACCTTTTGCAAGAAAACTAGTGGTATAGGCATCTTGAATGGGCATAGAGGAAAGTGAGGGATATTCTACAAAGACTTGCTGGGTAAAAATCTGCAGTGCGAGCTCCCACACGGAGAAGCTCACTGAGGCAGTCCAGTAGATCAGCTGAAGTCAGGCTGCCTGAAGAATAACTTCTATTCAGAGTTTTGTCAAAAACCCAGAAGTCTCACTCGGTGCTCGAAGCCTCTTTCTGATTTAAACGAAAAGCACCCCCACCACATACATACCTTGAAGAAGTTACAGAAACAATTGTTGAAAGGCTTGTACTTTAAGCCTCAATGCCAAACAAAATACTTTGCACACAGGGACATCCAAGGCAGAAATGCTCATGCCTGTCCTACCATCCAGTCAGTGGAGTTTGAAATTTGAATTTTCTTTACTCAGAATCTTCTGAGCTTTGTCAATTGTCAGTAGAAATACTCATAAATACTCATAAATAGGCCAGGCGGTGGTGGCGCACACCTTTAATCCCAGCACTTGGGAGGCAGAGGCAGGAGGATTTCTGAGTTCGAGGCCAGCCTGGTCTACAGAGTGAGTTCCAGGACAGCCAGGGATACACAGAAAAACCCCTGTCTCAGAAAAAAAAAAAAAAAAAGAATACTCATAAATACTGGATAGAAACATTGAGAGAACATTCTAGAAGTTTGAGTATTAACATCCCAGAGATATTCCACCTAGAAAGTATGACCTGGAGACATTTAAAAAGTATGATTGACGTTTGAACTATAAAACACTTTGAGGACACCTCTAACTCTTGTGTTCTGTGTCTCCCAGTCCATGTAAGCATCAGCTGTCAGGGAACTGTGGAACACCGTGGATGGCAGACCTCTACACGGATCAGTTGAAGCCTGGATTCCAACTCTGTCCACTTTGTTCTCAGATGGTATCTGATATGCAAAAGGCTCTGCCCAGGCAGTGAGACAACTTTGGCTGGATCTCCTATGACATCAGGGGTTAGGTCGCCTGTGGGAAGCACATGAGGGTGGAGGCAGGAACATTTCCTCCTCATCTCTGCACTCTAGATGGTATATTCTGTGGTGGCTTCTGTGGTGGCTGTGTCCTTCACTCAGACACATCTGCAGAGCCACTCCATAACCACAACCAGGTCCTTCTGCGGCCCCCTCCCCACCCCACCTCCCCTGGCCACTCCTTGCTTATGTAGAGGTCAAAACACTACATCTTCATTTTGGCTGGCTCTGCCTTTGAGCTAGATTCTAGCAGCCCAGTGTTCTATTGCAAATGGTGCAGAAGAAACCACAGGTTTGTGTCTGTGTCTCCTCCAAGGCCACAGGACTAGAAAGCTACAGAGTTGGACTCTAAGCCAAGGATTCCTTCCTAACCCGGGGCTACTGCTGTAGAGGAACTGAAAGTCTGGTTTATGGTTTACCCAGTTAAGAAAACTCTAACAATTAGAGCAAACCCAAATTTCCCTTGTTATTGACCTGGTATTTAAACTTGCCTGTCCTCATCCACAAACTTTCCTACTATGCCGCTTAGCTGGTTTTTTTCTTCTTTTTTACGATTGTTTATGTGTGTGGTGAGCATTGTCTGCCTGTACCTCTGCACACCAGAAGAGGGCATCGGATTCCATGGATCTACAGTTACCAGTAGTTGTGAGTAGCCATGTGAGTGCTGGGAATTGAACTCAGGACCTCTGGAAGAGCAGCCAGTGGTCTTAAACACTAAGCCATCTCTCCTGCCCAGCTTAGCTCTACTCTTAACACAAAAATAAAAGAGCAACTCTCAGGTCCAAGACCAACCTTGTCCCATGGTCTCTGAACATGAGAATTCCACCACAAGAGCTGGCTGGGTGGGGTACAGTGGTCAAGACAGGTGCTGGGCCATCTTAGGCCCCAGGTCTAGGCTAGTGAACTGTTCGGAGGAGTACTTTGCACCCAGCTGCTTTCTACAGGGGACAGAAGCTCTCAGAGCTCATCTTCAGCCAGCTGAGAGACCTTAACTTAACCTCCCCTGTGGCAATTTAAAGATTGTATCAGCTGGGTGGTGGTGGCACATGCCTTTAATCCCAGCACTTGGGAGGCAGAGACAGGCGAATTTCTGAGTTCGAGGCTGGCCTGGTCTACAGAGTGAGTTCCAGGACAGCCAGGGCTACATAGAGAAACCCTGTCTCGAAAAAAACAAAAATAAATAAAGAGAGAGAGAGAGAGAGAGAGAGAGAGAGAGAGAGAGAGAGAGAGAAAGTGTATCAGCTCTGCTGTATTCACAGTGCATGAAACAACAGCGCCCCTTGGTGGAGAAGGAGGGAGTTGTTCTGAGAGTAGGTTTATCCAACTTGGTAAACAAACCATGCTCATGGGTCACTGGCTCATGAAAAGCAAGGAAGGAAGAAACTGGCATCAGGCCTCGGAAATAACCCTAAAACTCCGAATGGAATTTTATTTTTACACGATTCTGTACTTCCAATCACAAACCCACCCACACCAAGTGCTGTCACCCCTTTTAAGTTTGTTTGTTTGTTTATTCTGTGTGTATGTTTTGCATGTGTGTATGTCTTAGGCATGCTAAGCAGTCATTAGACCACTGACTACCTCTCCAGCAAGTGTGATACTTGATTCCCAGCCAAATAAAGGAGATGGAGATCCTTGTTAAGATTTTCGAGGTTTTGTTTTGATTGTTGTATTTGTTTATTTGTTGAGACAGTCTCCCTCTGCAGCCCTGACTGAACTGGAACGCAAAGAGGACTACTGTCTGACTCTGCTGCACAAGTGCTGGGATTGAAGGTGTGTGCTACCATGCCTAGCAGTTCGTTTTTGTTTCCTTTTGTTTTGTTTTTTGAGATAGGGTTTACATCTCCGCAGAAGCTAACCTTGAGTGCCCAGCACTCCTGCCTCAGCCTCAAATTACTGGGATCACAGGCATAAGCCCCAACATTTGACTTAGATGATTTTTCCTCCCGTATGAGTGTAGGGGAATCATGAGAACATGTGTTGGGGCCAGAGGACACCACAGGGAATTGGCTTTCTCCTTCTCCCATGAGACACGTGCACCAGACTCAGGTCCTCAGGCTTGTGTGGAAATCACTCTTACCTCATAAGACATCTTACTGGCTCAGATAAGTGGTTTTGTTTTAATTAGCTAGAATGAAGTGAAATTTAGCACCGATATTGTTTCTAGTGTTCACATTTAGAGTTTTAAAGTGGGAGACGGGATTGGAGAGATGGCTCAGTGATGAAGAGCACACACTGCTCTTGTAGTTCAATTCCCAGCACCCAAATCAGGTGGCTCAGAATTACCTAGCCTGCTCCAGGGAGATCTGATGCCTCTGGTCTCCATGGGCACTCACTAAAATTAAAAAATAAAAAATTTTTTTAAAATGAACTTGTAAAATGAAACTGTTGGGATGACTAAATCGGTAGAACTGGAAAGAGTTATGTGACAGTGTTGAGACCTCATGCTTGGACTTTAAGGTACAGGTCAAAAGAGTTTCATCATTGGAAAGTATCTTGGATAGTGATCAGCTGACAACTTAGGCTCTTTACAAAGGATTGAAAAGTAGTAAACTGCCAGGCTGTGGTGGTGCACGCCTTTAATCCCAGCTCTTGGGAGGCAGAGGCAGTTGGATTTCTGAGTTCGAGGCCAGCCTGATCTACAGAGTGAGTTCCAGGACAGCTGGGGCTACACAGAGAAACCTTGTCTCAAAAAAAAAAAAAGAAAAGAAAAAAAAGAAAAAGAAAAGTAGCAAATTAGCAAAATGATTCTTAGTGGGTCTTTTATTAACCTAACCCCTCTGACACCATCCCACAGCTGTTTTACTCTCTAGAGTAAAACACTACTGGGAGATCCGGAATTGGCCTTTGAGAAGGGAGGACTTCATGAATGAAACCTGGAGCTCAAACCCAGAGTCAACCTGGACAACACAATGTTTCTTTCTTAAAAAACAAACACGGCTGTGAGGACAGGTGGCCTGAGTTTGGAGTGCACAGGTGTCCTAACCCTGAAACCCTCCAGGCTGATGACCGGGAAATCATTCTCTTTCCCACACTGCCCTCTTCCGACAGAAGGCAATGTTTATCGCCTGCCCAGACTGCCTTTCTACCAGGACCCACACCGTAATGGTAATTAAGGAAATCTGTTTGGAATCAGAGCTCTTAGCTGGCTGGCCATCCTGAGCACAGACCTCACTCTTAATGTTCCCACACTAACAGCTGTGGCTCATCACCCTGTCCACGACTTGAACAATTATGTCCCAATGCTAGGCAGTCTGATGGTGACATACACAGCTCCCTTACAAGCTCTCTCCCGTCCCAGTCAACCACACCATCACCAGTGTAATACTGATAGAGAAAGCACCAGAGCGGGCCAGGGCACACTAGAAGCCATTTGAGGAAGGAGAGGCATGAGGCTACTGTGTTTCATTTTTGGAGAGTTCTTGTCCTGTGAGACCAGTATTCATGGTGGTGGGAAGGCCTAGGTCTGTGGAATCAGCCCTGTTATAGTAACACATACTGTCCTGGGTGGGGAAAAAAAAAACTAAACCAGAATACATATAAGTTCCTGCAGTAGGGCAGGCTCGATGACCATCCGTGCTGATAAGAAGCAATGTGGAACCCCTGGCAGGCTGGCTGAGTGGAAGGGAAAGGAACACACTAGCCCGGCAGTGCTGGCATCTGTTATATTTGGCTCCTGGACCAGCCTCCTGGGATAATAGAGGCAGATAGGAATCTCCCTGGGAAGCCTTGATACCCTACTCATCCTTTACCCCACAGCAGCCTCCTGAATGCCTGTGTTTCCCCCAGATGAATCCCCAACAAGAGAAGGGATAGCCCCACCCCAGATCCCAAACACGCCTGCCAGAATTAGAGTATGTGTTGTATCCCAACAGAGGGAAGTACTCTCTACACTAAGCAGACCGGAAATGTGACTAAGGTTTTCCTGGGTTTGGGGCCAGACTCCTAGAATCTTCTTTCCGCCCTGACCTACCAACCAGCCAACTTTAGGAATTCTGCACCAACTTTATTTGCAAAAACCAAGCAGAGAGAGGGACAGAAAGGTCTCCCCACCCTTCTGGGCCCTGCAACAACTTGTCTCTCCCTGAGAACCACCACACCCGCCCCACTCACAGATGTTCGGCTCAGCCCGCCAACACCCCGCCCGCATAGCAAGCCCACAAGCCCCACCCATCAACAGCCTTCTGCGCTTTGCGGTTCACACCCCTCCCTGGCCCAGGCCCAGCCCCTCCGCTCAGGGCTGGGCTAGAAGAGACTGGGCTACACAATGGCAAACTGGCAGATGTAGGGCAACTGATCACGGCATCGCTTGTCGAACCACTTGCCGTTGGCTGCGCCGGACAGGGCGGCGCAGTTCTCGGCTTTGCCGCCGTCGGGTTGCGTCGTGATCTCCGTCTCCCAGTTCTTGAAGGCCAGGCGGCCGCCGGTCATATCCACCCAGGTGCCTTCTGCAGCCATATCGTTGAGGCCCAGCCAGATCTCCGCCTCGCTGCCCACGCTCTGGCGCGCGTACTCGAACAGCGCCTCGTTCTCTAGCTCCGACTGCGGCGTGCCCAGCGTGCCCCCTTGCGAGATGCAGTCCTCGCTCGCCTCATGGAAGGTCTTCGGCTGGGTGAAGGCCAGGAGGCACTTCAAGTTCACCTTGGTACCCTTCAGGCACACTGAAGGAAGAGATGACCGTCACAGAAGGTTTGGATGTTGTAACTGACTCCCACCCTTCGTCCCATCTCATCCACCTCCTCAAGCCTGCTTCCTCCCGCTTCAGTACCCTGTTGTGGCAGACACTGAAGAGCCCTGTACGAGAGGACATGGTGCCCTGTCCCTGGAATGGACACCCCTCTGCTGCAAAGCGCCACTTAACCAGGGTCACTGACTTCCAGAGATAAAGGGAGTGAAAAAGTCACCCGGTCTCTGCCGGGGACAGGATAATTTCCTGGGCTACAGGGGTTGGCACCAGGCACGGGACCTCAGCCCACCTCATCTGAAAGGTAGCTTTCCCAACCAAACAGAGCCTCCTCTAATGAGCTCTGTCAGCAGGCCCCTCCCTAGGGATCAAGCCACTAGCTCACACTGCCAGGCATTTACCTACTTGAACTAGAGACCACACCCTAGGTACTAAGGACCTACCACTCCTGCCGGAGTGCCAGCAAGCTTCTCCACAGGGGATCAACACAAGGGACCTCTGCCCAGACCAGGTCCCTGGCTGTGTGGGTGGAGCTGGGAGAACGAGCGGAGACTGCAGGACCATTTGTAGCAAAAAACGACACTAAGGAATGGCCATTTCAAAAGCCACTCTGAACTAGAGTGCTCAGTGAAACACCGGCCTCCCAGGTTAAGAGGAAGGTACCCATGGTGAGCTTGATGTAGCAGTTTGTTTAACTTGATTTCTAACTTAAGCATCAGGCAGATGGGGTTTGGGGGTTTTGCTGCAGGGTCACATATGTCAGAGCTCCACATTGGCCCCTACCCTTTGCACCCAGCCATTCCACCCAGTGAATATTCAAGAGAAACATTCCCATGTTCCTGAGGGATTTGACAGCTAGGCCTCACAGAAGTGTTTAGTCACAGACTCTGGAGCACAACCACAACACACTCAGGTGAATCGAATACGTAGTCCAGGGCCAAGCACACATGGTGTGCTCATGGCACACTACAGAACAGAGGCAAGGTCACAGGATGGGTAGAGAATGGGACACATACAAGATGACCCTGATGGAGAGGGACAACCAACTTGAAAGAGGACTGGCCTGGCAGAATGAATGGCCAGTCAGCTTGGGCTACCCCAAGCAAGAGAATAAAGGCTGGCTGTCCTGGCCGCTAGAGTGCCCGAGCTACGAGGCTGTGGTCCTGCTTTGCTACTCCACAGCAGGGTGACCATGAGAATCCCTCTGCCTCAGCCCATCTTTTTTTAAAAAAAATATTTTATTTTTAGAAGTTTTTTTTATGTGTATGTGCATATACCTGTGTGAGTGTATGCCATGTCTGTGTGGAGTTACCCTCAGGCCAGAAGGCATTAAATCCCCTGGAGCTAGAATTACAGATGGTTGTGTCACTATGTGGGTGCTGGGGACTGAACCCAGGTTCTCAGCAGAAACAGCTAGTGCTCTTAATTAAAGACTAAGCTATCTCTCCAGCCCCAAGATTTTCTTTCTTTCTTTCTCTCCCTCTTTCTCTCCCTCTTTCTTTCTCTCTTTCTTTCTTTCTTTCTTTCTTTCTTTCTTTCTTTCTTTCTTTCTTTTTTATTTCCAGAGATTTATCTATTGTATATGAGTACACTGTAGCTAGCTGTCTTCAGGCACACCAGAAGAGGGCATCAGATCCCATTACAGATAGTTGTGAGCCACCATGTGGTTGCTGGGAATTGAACTCAGGACTTCTGGAAGAGCAGTCAGTGCTCTCAACCTCTGAGCCATCTCTCCAGCTGCCATCAGCTGGCAGATCTTTACACTGGGACTGACAAATGCTGTGATTCAGAGACCATCTGTAAGGCTGCAGAGATGCAGAGGGATGGACAGGGAGAGGGTATGCAGCAGTGTGCCTCAGGGCTGTGAGATGACTAAGTTCAGTTCCCCTGTGACTGGCCTGGGCTGCAGTATGATGCCTGGCCCTGCCCCAGAACTCTCATTCCCACTGGACAGTGTTAGGTTCCTGTTGGAGTGCCTTCTGGCCTCTAGAGACCCCACCTCCATACCCTCTAGCTGTGACCAGACCCAACTATGCCTGACTAGGTGGAAACAGCCTTCTTCCTCTATGCTGCCCGTTACCAGACTGGCCCTTTCTTAAATGTGTCCCTCCTAACGACTCTGCTGCACTCACCGGTCTGTAAGGCCTGCTTCTCCTTCAGCAGGGCCACCTCCTGCGCCAGGACATCCACCCTGTTCTTGAGTTCCTCAAACATCTTTGGGCTCACCAAATCTAGGACAGAGGCAAGAGGCAATGAAAATCTGAGGTAGGCAGGTGCTCCCCTCCCCACCTGCCAGCCCCAAACAGGCAAGAGGAAATTCCTTCTCCCAGCCTAGATCTCTGTCTAAGGAGCTGACCCTCCAGTAGGATCTTTTGGCCTGCTCCTGGTTCTTCTTGGGTTTCTCTATCCTGTATTTGTCATGGTGGGGCTGGGATTAGCAGGACTTGAGGAAACAGCCATTTTATCAGCTCCAATAGGACTATGAGCTAAGAAATCACAGAGGTCAATACCCCTAGGACTGGGGGTTAGAGGGGCACACAGCGCTGGGTATGAAGGAGAAACTGAGATAGCAAGCCCTAGACTGAGTTAAGGGTAACAGGGTGGAGACACATGTTCACCAACATGGCTGCACCTTCTCTTACATACAGTGAGGTGATAACAGCGCTCTGAAATGACTCTGTGGAAGCCCAGGAGAAATGACACAGCACAGGGCATGTGCCCCCTCAGCTGCAGCTGGGGGAGAGCAGGGAAGCCACTTCCCACAGAGCAGCCACGAAAGAAGGACTGGGGCTTGTTGAGCACCACCTTGGCCATGCTCACAACCAGCCCTATGCCATGGGCAAGTACCATCTTCAATCTCCACCACTCCACAAGGAAACTGAGGCCAGATTTAAATGACCTGCGTAGGATGGTAGAGCAACTAGCCCAAAGCTCTGATCCAAGTAGCCACAGAACCACACGATTCCCGTCTGCTTCATGGGACATGGCATCTCTGATAGGGGCTGCCGGTGCATCAGCAGGTGTGGGTAAGGGACAATGTGTATGTGAGTGTGTGTACGTGTGTGAGCCGAAAGCTGTGGATGAACGCCTTTCTGAAGTCCCAGGGGTTCCCAGGAAAGGTCTGTTTGGCTTGAGGCAAAGGATAGGGAGTCACCTCCAAGGGCCATTTCATGTGAAATCCACGTAGATGAGGTCAGAGTCTTTGTCCACCCACTAGAAGCCTTGCCAAGGAATTGTGGCCAAGACACAGGCTTGCAATGTACAAAAACCAGTCATCATCAAGTGTGGGGAAAGGAACACCCAGAGGACAAGGGCAAAGTAGATAGGGTTGGAGCCAGCAACCAGGTCACTCTGAGCCTCTGCTCCAATCCCTGGGTTCACACAAGCTCTGTGAGCGTTCACGAGTAGCACCAGCCCAGGGTAATGTAGATGCTGTGCGTCACTGAGATAACATTAGCTCGGGTCCCATGGGAGCCATCCTGACCAGCGCTTGAGCGTGGCCATTACTGAAGACTGACCCCTGCTCTGATCCTCTCCCTTCCCACATGACATGATCTACAAGACTGATGACAACTTGAGAAACTGGCAACCGTTTTCCAAACTCAGAAATCATTTGTTCGGAAATTGGATGTGCGTGTGTCCCTGACACAGCGACGCCCTGGTGTTAATGTTGACAATGACTCATACAGGGTACTCAGTCTTCCTATTTTATTTTATTTTGTTTCCACTTCATTTTTTTTTAATTTATTATATGTAAGTACACTGTAGCTGTCTTCAGACACCCATATGAGGGCATCAGATCTCATTGCAGATGGTTGTGAGCCACTATGTGGTTGCTGGGATTTGAACTCATGACCTCTAGGAGAGCAGTCAGTGCTCTTAACCACTGAGCCATTTCACCAGCCCCAGTCTTCCTATTTTAAAGTGAGCATTTTGTAGACAATTATATTCACCTGACTTACGACCACCCCAAAATCTCCTTCTCAATCCAGACTGTTCCCCGCAGAAGTCATCTCTGTCATACTTGGGATCTCTCTGGAATAGTTCTCCACAGACACAGCAGACATTTACTTTTAGTCAGCCCATTCAAATTTTTTTAAATTCCATTCAAATCTTCTAAATAATTACTGACATATGTTAGTTACTAAGGCTAGCAGGATTCACCACCATGCACGTATGGCTATGATAAATCCCTTTGTCAAAGGGGTGTCAATACAGTACCCATTCTGTTTTGAATTCCATTCACATTGTAAACTCAGTCTTCAGTATTTTGGGTTTGCATATTTTTAAGACAGGGTCTCCCTGTATAGCCTTGCCTGGCCTGGAACCCACTATGTAGACTAGGCTAGCCTCAAACTCACAGAGAGCCACCTGCCTGTCTCCAGAATCCTGAGACTAAAGGCATGCACCACCACACCCAGCTTTATCTTGTTTGTTTTTGTTTGTTTGAGGTTCTGAAGACAGAAGCAGGAAGTCACACAGTCTAGTCAGCAGGCACACTAGAGCCCAGCAGGAAGCGCTTAACTAACCCTGGGGTTTTGTTTTGTTCCTTTTTTTTTTTTTTGAGCTGAGTTCTGTAGCCTTGGCTGGCCTCAAATTTGCTATACAGTTGAGGCTAACCTTAAATTATAATTCTCCTGCCTCCACTTCTGGAGCCTTGTGGTTAAAATGTGTACCTTCATTCTGGATTTTGTGTGATACTGGGGATCAAACCCAGCTTCTTGCAGACACTAAACAAGTGTCCTACTACTGAATTCTGCCTGTTCTTTGCTGTAGCCTTGTGCTCTAAGATACTGATTTGTGCACTTTACTGTGGAGGTTAAGAAAGCCTGGAGATTTCTTCATACCCTCCTCCTTCTTTGGCTGGGCTCTAGGGCTCCATCTCTCTGATTCTACCTGCCATCCTCCAAGTCCTGAAGGGGTGACAGCTTTAGTCATTACCAGAACATTCTGCTCTTTCATCTCCACGCATCCCAGGATGACCTCACTGGTGACAGGACTACAGAGGTAGGTCTCGAACCCTCAACCTTTTGGAGGAGAACAGAGATGCGGGAGCTCAACTTGAGGTGACAAGGCTGACGCCTCACGGAAGTAAGAGTCCATCTCTCCCCATTTCCCCTCTCGGTGCCAAGCAAAAGTTTGTCCATGGAGGACTTCATATATATTATTAAATGTTGACTACAAGTCTCTGAGCAAATTCCACCCTCCTGGGCTCACAGTTGAGGAAACCCAGGCTGGTGCTCCCTGTTGGGAACTGGCCATCTCCAAGCTGGAGGTTTGATTTCTCTAACATATCGGGTGCCAGAGGGGGAGCAGATGCCAGTTTAGAAAACCTAGTAAGGTTATTCTCCATTCTAAGAGTCAGGCACTCTGGAAGCTCTGACAACCATCCTTCCTGTGAGAACTCCCCAAGTACCAGAGGGCCTTTCATCAAAGGTCCCAGGAGGATTCATCAGGATCAGATATGAAGGGAGGGTCACGAGGTAACTAGGAGAGCAGCTGTCCCCAGTGTGGGGAAGGGTGGCGGCTCCCTGAATGATAAAGGAAAAGCTGCCCCTAGGGCACTTGGAGCCCCCCCCCCCCTGCTCACCTTTCTTGGCATTTGCAGCCTTCTTGGTCTTGGGAGTGGGTGACTCTGCAGTGACCTGGGACAGGAAGGAAAAGACACAGAAGATCAGGTAGGTCCCCCAGAATTCCATACTGCTGCTGCCGCCTGCGTTGCCTGGATCAGAAAGCAGTGACCACTGCACCCCGAGCTGCACGTCTTAAGGCTGTGGACACAAGAACCTCTGTCTGGGAAACCCTCCCAAAAACTTGGCTGAAGACATGCAAAAAAAGAAAGAGAAAAAAAAGTGAAGCAAGCCTGCCAAAGGAGAAAGACTTGGGCGCCATAGCTACACTGCTGTGGACAAACACCCAGCAGCCTGGCCAGGCTCCCGGAAAGTCAACATTTCAAAGGATTCTGAAAGATAGCCAATAGCTGTCATTGTCCAATCCATCCAGCGATTATCTCTGGCAGGAGCCAGGTTGGCCCTGGCACTGGCTTAATGAGTCTCTGCATCCACAGAATTGTTCTTTCCCATTTTGTTGAGGGAACTGGGGGGTCCTTCCTCACATTTTTTCCCCTTAAAAATCTTTCCCAAGTCCATAAAAGAGACAGAGCAAAAGAGGGGACCAGAGCAGAGAAGGGACCCAAAAGGCCTTAGAGCAGAGGTGTCAGTGAGGGAGCTGGGATAATATCTCCTGGATGTGCAGTGAGGGGGATCGAGGCTCTGCAGGACAGAGGGAGGCATAGCCAGGAAGGCAGAGGCCCTGCAATAGTGCTGGATTCCAAGCACAGGGAGGAGGAACCCTGCAAGCAGGGGAGTGGTGGCAGAGACCACAGGAACACTGATGGCATAAGCAGACCCTTGTAAAACAGTGGGAAGTAGGTTTCATTTCAGAGAAGGCATGAACATGGAGAAAGAGGAAACCGGAATGACCCCCTGTAGGTATCATAGTGTAGGGTTAAAAGCAGGGTTGTTGGTAGGCCCCTGTGAATGTGAACATATTCAGAGGAATCTATATGTGTAGTCGACATAAGAATGCAGAAACATCTGACTCCCGGCTGTCCTTGGCAGGGCTTTACTGCTACAAGCCCTCCAAAGCCTTGAGTCCTCCTGGCATGTAAGAACAGAATGCTACATTCTACTCAAGGATTCAGAGCATGGCAAAGAGATGCTGGGTCCAAGGCTGGTGCAGGAAATGAACCCAAATATGTCTCACTGTCAGAAATCAAGCATACTTAAAGAATGCTGGGGACACGTCAGTGGGGGCAGCCAGCCTGAAGGATCTGCCTATGGTTTGAACCCACCGGTGTTTGGAGATTCTGCAGAGTGGGAGCTGTCACACTAACATCAGCATCAGGCTGGAGGGGATGAACACACAATTAAATTCCTCATAAAATTCTGGAAAAGACCCGTGGGGATGCTACAACGTATGACCATGTTTTCACCATGTAGGCAGCAAGGTTGCCTGGACGGACCACTTATTCAAAAATGGCTTCTGGAGATGAGGTCCTTTGTAGAGTAGTTAAAATTTCCTGTGGATACGACCTTTTAAAAAAAATGCAGGGATGGGTTATAGCTCAGTTGGTAGAGTGCTTGCCTAGCATGCAAGAAGCCCTGGTTTTGAGCTGAGTATGGTAGCTCCCACCTTTAATCCCAACACTCAGGAAGAAGAGTCAGGTGGATCTTTGAGTTCAAGCCCAGCCTACTCTACAGAGTGAGTTCCAGGACAGCCGGGACTACACAGAGAGACCCTGTTTCAAAAAACAAAAAAAACAAACAAACAAGCAAACAAAAGCCCTGGGTTTGATCCTTAGCATGTAATAAATAGGGTATTGTGCACATCTGTAATAAACAGGGTATTTTACACATCTGTAATCACAGCACTTGAGAATCGGGCAAGAAGTTCAGGAGTTCAAGGCCAAAAAAAATGCAGTAACATGTCATTCGGCTTTTCTCTGACCTCTGAACCAGTCTTGATCCATCTGGCTGGGGAGGGGCGTGTTGTCCAGGCCCAGGAGAAGGAACTTAGATGGTCAGCCAGTGACCAGCTGGAAGCAGAACATCTGCAGATCCCCTTGACTAATGGAAAGAGAACCGTCCATCATTTTTGTAAGCGGGAGAGGGTTCATACTCACAGCTGGAACCTCAGTGGGATAATCTGGGGACCGGTGATTGCATAACTTAACAAGGAGTCTTGCTTCCAGGAAAACTGGGTGGGTAGAAAATGCAGGGGGAAGTTAATAGTTCTTTAAAAACAAACAAACAAACAAACAAAAACTCCTTTGCTTTCCCAACGCCTCACCTCGGCCTGACTCCATTACAACTAGCGTAAGAAATAGCAAGAACCTAAGACAAGACCTGTTTCCCAAAATGGGCCCAACTGTGGAGGCCCTGCGCTACTTTTGCTGGGGAGGTTATCCCAGGCTTACAAACCGTGGGAGAACCTTAGGGAACCAGCGCATATCGATAACTGTGTAAGCCCACGGTGCCTCATCGTCATAATAGGTCCCAGGGATGCATGGCGAGGAGCCGTATTGTGCCTGGAGTTTGCCGTGGGGCATCGCTAGCCATTTAACTGCCAGAGCTGGCAGGGAGGAAGGACAACTAACTTGGCGAGCCAGAGGAGGAACAGGGATGGTGGTCTGTGGGGGCTCGAGGAAAAAGGAGAAAAAACTTGTAGCTGAGTGACAGAGAGGTACATCCTGGATCCTCAGCATCTGTGGGGACAGGGACGGGAAGGGGGCTGACAGAAAGCTAGACATGCAGATGGAGGCAGTGAACCACGTGGCAAGACTGGAGACCAGAAGTAAGCCACACGGGGGCGCTGTGATCAGAACGTACTCTGGGGAAGGGATGAGCTGAGAGCGGGAGGCACATTGGGAACTATCTGTCTAAAATTAACTCCAAGCAGGCTTCACCTGAGCTTGAGGAGTGACTCTTCTCTACTTGATCTGGCAAGTAAAGCCTGAACCTTAAAAGTTAGCTTGTGGGGACGTGAGTATCAGGCAACATCCTGGGTTGTTTCCCTTGCAGGGCTTTGAAAGGGATGGGTGTGCACACATTGCACAGAGTTCCACTCAAGCACAAGGAACTCCACTTGTGCTGTTACAATGTCTTTTCTAGAACTAGAATACTCAGCAGGGTATGCTGTCTTGGCTGTGTCTCATGGAAAGATTTACACAGCTAGGGACGCAGCAGTTTTGAGGGAAGACAATTTGCCACCCAGCTTTAACTGTGTGCCCAAGAGTGGCAAGCATGGCAACCGCAGAACGTTTCAAAGCCAGGAGTAGTGGCTCATGCCTGTAATCCAAGTGCTCTGGGTGCTGAGGCAGGAGGCTTGCCACCAGTTTGAGGCTAGCCTGAGCTACAGAGACACTGTCTTAACAAAAGAATGCTTTAAAATTACAATCCTTCAGCAACAGCAACAGCAAGACTCATCAGGTGAAGATCGTTGGCTCCATGTCTAATATAACCTGAGTATGACTCCCAGAGCTGAGAAGGAGGAGAGGACTGACTTCTGTGGGCGGTCTTCTGACTTCCACACACACCATGAATAATGCCCATGTACATATAAAAATGTTCATCAATTTATTCTTATTTTAATATACGTATTAGATGTATGAGTGTTTGTACATGTGCCCTTGGAGGTCAGATGAGGGCATTGGATCCCCTAGAGCTGGAGTTACAGACAGTTGTGAGCTGCCTGGGATAGGTGCTCGGAACTGAAGGAAGAACTCCAAATAATTTTTAAAAAAATCAATGTTGTGAACAGCTCACTGCCCTGTGTATTTGTGTAAAAATGGTATTCTGTTAAATGTCAGCATACATCACTGTTTATGTAGCCCCTCTGGTGGTTTGAATGAAAATAGCTCCCATAGGCCCATAGGGAGTGACACTATTATGAGGTATGGCTTTGTTGGAGGAAGTGTGTCCCTGTTCCTTTCCTCCCTTTTGGAATAGTAATGTTTATTCTATATGTTCATTGTATGTTAGAAGTATGTGATCTGCTTTTTAAATTTTATATATTTTTATTTTAAAACATTTAGATTTATTTCATTCATATGAGTGCTTTGCCTACACGTATGTTTGTGCACCATACGCATGCCTGTTGCCTGAGAAAGTGGTGAGCCTCCCATGTGGGTGCTGGGAATCGAACCTGGGTCCTTCCCAAGAAGGGCAAGTGCTGTTAACCACTGAACCAATTCTTCAGCTCATGATCTGCTTTTTTATTTCTATTTTATGGGTATTACAGTTAAGAGATTAATGAGTCTCTAAAGACTTTTAGAGGTTGGGGACTTTTGAAGTTGGGCTATGATATGGTTACAAGCTTATGGGGGCCAGGGAGTAGAATGTAGTGATTTGAGTGATAATGGCCTCTGTAGGACCATAGGGTATGGCACTATTACTTGGTGTGGCCTTGCTGCAGTAAGTGTGTCACTGTGAATGGGCTTTGAGATTTCAGATGCTCAGGCCAGGGCCAGTGCTAACCTCTCTTCCTGCTGCCTTTGGATCCCGATGTAGAACTCTCAACACGGTCTCTAGCACCACGTCTGCCTGCATGCCACCATGTCACCTGCAATGACAATAATGGACTAAACCTATGAACTATATCCAAGCCCTCAATTAAATGTTTTCCTTCTGAATTGTAAACCAGCCCCTATGATCCTTCCTTCTCCGGAGGGCTGTTGGTCACCAGCCCACGAGGACAAAGGGAACAGAGTTGAAGAACAGGGTTTGGAAGGCCCTTGAGTATGACAGAAATGACTACTGGAATCAGCTTCAGAGAAGCAGTTCGACTTTAATCAGGGTGAATCAAGGACTACACAGTATCAGGGAAGGGGGTGTAGATTTCTAGGGTAGGTGCATATCATTGGCTATGGCTTAGGATACCTCATTTGCATGGAGAGGCATTCCCAGAACTTGGGAGGCAGATCTGAGATCGAGTTCAGCCTGGTCTACAGAAAGCGTTCTAGGACAGCCAGGGCTACACAGAGAAACCATGTCTCAAAACAAAGCAAAAACAAAAACAAAACAAAACAAAACCCTGTAGTATAACCAATTTAACTTTATCCTCGACTAGCTTACAAATAAACGAGACTCAGACTATGGTTATTTTATTTGGCTTAGACAGTTACCCCTAATCTACTTTTCTATGTGTTGCCCTGGCTATCTCCCCAGAAGCATACCCCAGAGACTTGCTGTTCCTCCTGGCCATGTGTTCATGGTCTCTCTCCCCTCATCTGCCCAGCTGTTGGCTGTCAGCATCTTAATTCACCGCTCAGAAATAACTTGGGGGCAAGGTCACATAGCTTTACTTGGGTCTATGTGTGGACTCTCTGGGGCAACCAGGTCTTGAGGAACCAGTACTGGCATTACCACTACAAAACCCAGAGAGAGACAGAGAGACCGAGACCGAGACCAGATTCGAAAAGGTCATCTAGTATCTAGCCTGCTGTCTCTCAGTATATGCTATTCCTACAGGCTTGAGGTTGGCCTCCAAAATATTACCCAGTGTGCCCTGGGCCTAGCCACTGGAGCAGTCATTCAAGAGGCTAGTGACTGGACACCCTTTTCCCTTCTCCAGGTTCCTTCCTCTTTTCTTCCCATTATTCCTCTAAGTCTCCTGCCCCGAGTCCAACCCATTGTCCATCATAGTACTGGGCTTAAATCCAGGGCCTTCTACATACTAAGCAAGTATGCTACATCCCAGCTCCATTTTCTGGATTCTTTTTTTTTTTTTTTAATCTTTTGTGGTGCAGCTCTCAGAACACAGCCTATGCATGGGGCCCTCTGGGCAGTCTGGACCTCCCTGCACAAAGCCACTCACGAACAGAAACGAAGAGCAATTCTGGTTCATCTGTTTCCTATGCTGACCCTGGATGTGTAAAGCATTCCTATTCTCTTGTCCACCCTTCTCTCTAGCCAGGTACAGCCAGCCACAGTGGATTCTGACAGGTCATCTGGAGCCCTATCACCTTCATCCCCCTGCAACTACAGCTCTGTGGTACTGTCCCCATCACGTGTCAGAGAAGAACAGGCAGGGCTGTCTTTCAGCCAGGACAGACACGCTAGATTAGTATTTTCCCAAGGAAATATGTGCTAAGTCCTCCACCCTCAAGGCTGTTTTATTGTGCTAAATGGAGAAGCAGAGGTAGAAAGCTGGGAAGAGGGTCAAGGCACGATGCAGTTTTCCAGCATTGGGTTTTGTTTGTTTTTCTGCTGGGGGGGGCGCCCCCGCGCGACTTTGAAAACTTTTTAAAGTCAAAACTGGACAAAACAAGATCTGGGCACCCCACCCAGATCTGCTTCAACTTGAGAAACTCTGGCCCAGCGTGCAGCTGGCCCTCACATAACCCCTCCCAGATGTTTCCCTTTCAGCCCCAGTCCTGCAGGCCCTGTGAGCCTATGACGGCAGCAGTGTGGCCTAGCCTGAGGCTAACTTTCCTCATCCTTCAAAGGCCAGAGCATTCAGAAGACAGATGGTCCTACCCTTATTCAAAAGCAAACACAAAATCGCCTTTGACCCTGGCCATCTGTTCAAGGATGTGGCTCCGCCCCCATGTCCTGGCGCCTGTGTTGGGTAGGACTTGGGAGGCCTGACGTGGCCTACCCAGCCTGGTTTCACAGGGCTCACAATACTTGAGGATAGAAAGTGAACCAGGATTCCCATGTTTTAAATCTGGAGACATCTCGCAGGTATCTTCTGGACACACACTCCTATTCCAGAGAATCATCATCTGTTTCATGTGCAATCGTCTCAAGGGGCACCTGGGAGTCACCTGTGGGAAGCAGTTATCGGATAAACCTGCCAAGGTCAGGGGAAGGAGGGCAGCGCCCAGGAGCAAGTGTCCTCTCTGACACCTGTATGCCCACCTCGTCCAGAAGAGCAGGCAGGTGTGCCGAGCTTAGTTCTTTGCTCACATGACTGGTGCTCAGCTGCTGATTCCAGGATGTGTGAACTCAAACTCCTTTCTCACACACTCTCTCAGGTTTTGGCAGGTGTGGGCCCAGCACTGTTTGGGGAATAATGCAGATTTAAAATGATCACCATCAAAGGTGTTGCTGGGGCCTGATCCACAGCCCACAGTCTGAGTCTGCAAAGGCCTCAGGAAGAGGTTAGCTGGCCACAGACTACTTCCTGCAGAAGGTCCCTCTTCTCCCTTCATGAAGAACAAACCACCAAGTGTCCTATGACTTCTGGTTCCCTCGCTGCTGTCTCAATGTACAGGATCCGTTTACCTACAAACTGGACTTGGGGTTTTTCTCTCAACAATTTTCCCAAGGAGCCAGACAGGAAGATGAGAGGTGTGTGTGAACAGGGAGGTGGCATATGAACCTCGGTGACCTGTCCCAGGCTTGTGCCCATGGTACTGCTGTGCTAACCTGAACGTTCGCTTTTATTACCCATGGACACATACAAAAGCACTAATGGTCACTGTCTTACACATCCCAAAGTGAGCGAGTGAAAGCAGTCCTTGGAACTGAAGGTTCGTGTCTGCACCACCACTGTTAATCATTCATCGTGGGGACACAGTAGGCACAGGGCAGAGGAGGAAGCCAGCCTCCTGCCTTGTTGGGAACACCGGATAATATCATCTGTTGTGACATGCACTGGGAAAACACAACAGCCCAGGCTATGCTATCAGTAGGTAAGCAGCTTCCCCGGGACACACAAATCCAGCTACTTCTTTGCAGAGATGGATGGCCTGGTCACACAAGAGAGGGACCATGCCCGGGCCTCTGAAGGCAATGCCCGAGGGCTGCGTCTCACTGCTCTTTCCACTAGGCGATACATTCCTAACACCTCACCCTATCTGGCTGACTCAAAGCGGAATGCAAATGCCTCTGGCTGAACCGTTCTTCGTGAGTCAGCTCCCTCCCAGGGGCTATGAAACTGATTTTGGAGCTTCAGTTCTCCTGGAAAAAAACCAAATCCTCCTCTACCCATAAAGCCTTTATTCCGCCATGCTGCACTGTGAGTAGACTCTCTTCCCTGCTGTCCCCAGACAATTAAAGCTGGCCGGTAAGTCAAATGACAGCATTCCTCAAGCAGCCTTTATAGTGCTGATACAACATGGCCATCTTATGAAACACCAGGGAGGGGTTATAAAACACAAAGGAATCTGAAAACAAGACTAGAGTCGATAAGTTAGAACATGCCTGCAACCTAATCCCGAGCAGGCAGACTGGAGTCAACGGCATCACTGGGCTGCTGAAGACTCTAATTCAACACAAAAGCAGAAAAATCGAAGAATGGTAAGAAAGGCTGGGTAGGGACCCAAGTGGCCACTAGTCCCCTGACCCAAGGGAGGGCCTTCAGGATCTCTTGGCTGGCAGGACCTGGTAAGGTTACCTGGCAGGCACAGGTAGGAGGCCTGGGCCCTCTACTGTGGTCATGGCTTCCTTATTCCTGACCCACAGAAGCACCAAGTACAAGGTGGGTGGGGGAGGTCTGAATTAATTAATTAATTATTAATTAATGAATGAATGAATTAATTTATTTATTTTTGCGACATGGTTTCACTATGTAGGTCTCACTTGGTTGGTCTGGAACTCACTATGCAGACCAGGCTAGCCCCACACTCACAGAAATCTACCTACCTCTGTCTTGCTGGTGTTGTGATTAAAAGTGTGTGTCACCATACCTGGCATTGTGATACTTAGTGCAAAAAATGAAGAAAAAAAAAATCACAAAATACTTATCACAGGCTATTTCTTTAAACTACTTTCTGCAGGAAATCTGATTGGGTCTTGTTAAATTGTTAACTGGGTCTTGTTAAATTGTCTCAAGCTAGAAATCCACCCCAGTGCAAGTATTACAAGTCTATGCCGCCATGTCTGGCTTCTGCAGGTCCTTTACTTCCGGGTTTGCTATCATCCTCTTGTTGTAGGCAACTCCCTGGAGGACAGCAGCCCTCTTCAACTCGTGGCAGCAAATGCTAACCAGGATGGGATCTTGGTATACAGCTGGAGATGCTAGCGACACCAAACCAGACCAAAAAATAGACTTTATTTTTACATTTACAAATGTTGACTTAAATTTAACAATAAAAAATATATATACAAACCAGTCTCAACAGAAAAGTGAAGCAACCAATGTCCCGCACAGTGAAGACAGATCACCCCAGGAACCCGACTTTCGGCCTCTTGGGCCCCAGGCTTTCTTCCTTGTGCAGAAGACTCTGCAAGGACATGTGTAGCACCTTGCCCACTCTCTTGCTGCTCTGTAGGATGACAGGGATAGGACAGAGGTCACCTGTTAGTGAGGTACAAACTGATCAGGAGCCCCCATCCACTCGCTAGTCTGCCCAACACCTACACATCTGTCTGTATCACGAGCTTTTAAAGCAGCTTTTCACTGTCCTACAAATCAGGCAGACAGTCCACAGAGCTACACTCCAGCTCACTAACAGAACAGACTTTCAGTTAATACAACGTGAACTATAAACCCCAACAGCATCATGGTTACACCTTGAAGATCCTCCACTCACACAAAGAAAACAGGAAGGGCCAGGGAAGGAAGCTCAACTCTCCGTGCTCCTGTGGCCAGGACAAACAGCCGCACTGCCAACCAGACCTGGCCGAGGCACTGTTTCATAGTAAGGATAAGAGATCACAGGGAACCCTCCTGCGGGAGAGCACACTGCCAGGCCAGGCCATCTTAGTAATAAGCCATTCTAATTCACCTGGCAGCAGCCCCTCAGGCACAAGTCTCAGGTGCCAAAGTCAGTTCCCGGATGGGGGTCATTGGCCCATTCCAGAGCCCCTGGATGGGGTCCTTGGCTACCTGCAGAGCCACATTAGAATAGCCACACAGAAGGGGTCAGGCTGCCTGCTACTTTAGTCATTAGCACCCAAACAACAAACAGGCTAGGAAAAAAAAACTAAATAAATGCACAAGTACAGAATACCCCAAAGCCCCCCAAACGAAATCTTTGTTATCCTGGCTCCAGGCTGATGAACCAATCATTTTAAGATTACAATGTACCACCCTCAAGCCTCCACTGCAAACTTTGAGTGTTCCCACAGCCTGTGGCTGTGACCTTGACACTGGATTGGATCTCAAGTGTCAGACAGAAAGACACCAAGCCTATAGACCCCAGGCCAGCCATAACCTTTGTGTCTATCCTAGTGCCAACTGTCATGTGATGTGAGCCTCCAGATATGACTAATTATGAAAAGATTATTGTGGATTAGAGTTCAGACTCCCAGCACCCAGTAAATGTTGGGCAGATGTGGTGGCATCCCCGTGACCTCAGCTCACAGGGAGTCAGAAGCAGGGATCCCTAGAACAAGCTGGCTGGCTGGACTAACTGGATTGATGAGCTCTGGGTTCAAGTGAAAGATCCCGGGCTGGAGAGATGGCTCAGCGGTTAAGAGCACTGACAGTTCTTCCAAAGGTCCTGAGTTCAAATCCCAGCAACCACATGATGGCTCACAACCATCCGTAATGAGATTGGATGCCTTCTTCTGGTGTGTCTGAAGACAGCTACAGTGTACTCATAAATAAAATAAATAAATAAATCTTTAAAAAAAAAAAAAAAAAAAGAAAGATCCCGCCCCATACATATGGCGGAGAATGATGGAGGAGGGCACTCAGTGCCAACCTCGGGTCTCCACGTGCACATACACTTACATGCACACTCACACATATGCAAACACACCCATACACCCTCCACATCTATCAAACAGGTGGTCTAACTATTCATGCAAATGAAGGTGGGAGAAAGATGAGAAGAGGTAAGAAAGGACAACAGGAGTGGAGAGCAAGGCCACAGCCTGCAGAGCTCCCACTGGGTCCATATGAACAGCCACAGCCCTGTAGCTCTTTGAGCAGCCATACTTGCAGACCCTACTCCCAGGTTAGGGAGGTCCAGGCTCAACTCACGGAGGAGCCAATTTCCCAGCCATTGAAGCCCTGGCCCTGAGATCTTGCCAAATACAGGCCGACAGCCCTGGAGGCACAGCTAGGATAGTCCAGAGAGACCTGCTTATCTGTTACATGCCTCAGGTTCTTCATCTCAAAAAATGTGAAGAACTCTGGGGAATAATGGATTGGGAAAAACACTCGGAATCGTTCCTGGCATGTAGTACACAATAAATCTTCGCTATTGTTTAAAACACCTGTATTTCTGTTGCAGGGTATTTGATTGCTCTACGAACCCCAAGATTGATTGTGTTATTTACTGAAAAAAAAACAAAAACAAAAACAAAAAAAAACAAAGCAAAACAAAACTTGTTTCTAGTTGTGGTGTGGCTCAGTCAGTCCTTGACACACATCTTTCATCCCTCTGGCTGGAATACAGACACGCCCTTAGTACACACCTTTAGTCCCAAACAGTGAAGGTAAAGTTAGTCTGCAGAAGGAGGCATTCATGTTTGAAAGTGATGTCTGATTAAGTGGCAGATGAAGCAATGAATCAGATAAAACAGGACGTGTGCAACTCTCAGTACAAGAGGGAGGGAAGGGAAGCTACATGAGGGGCAGTGCAGAGAGAAGAAGGACGCGGTTTTACAAGGACAGCTGTACAGAGACAGGTTGCAAAGAAGGAACAAGCTAGACACAGGCAAAGCTAGAATGAGCTGGAGAATGAGAACGAGCCAAAGATTAGAACAGAGTTAGTCTGAGGCCAAGCAGGGCAATTCAGAAAAGCTGAGAGAAGCCATTTTGAATCAATCAGTTTGGAACCGTTTGAGCCAGAATGGCTGAGTTGATCAGCCAGCCAGAGTTCAAAAGGGCTAAGAATGGAGAACTCCCTCAGCAGTAAGCCTCGGAAGCCGAAAACATCCTAGGCTTAGGTAAGATTACACAGAGGCTAGAAGCTTCCAGGACGAGGTAGAGGTTAGAAGACCAAGGCAGCAAGCCTCAGAGACAACAATCATTCAGGCAAGTAAAGGGTACTTTTACAGATTTCCCATTAAGTTCTTTGGTTGAGCCTTCTCCAAGAGAAGGTTTGAGCTCTTCTTGTCTGAAGAGGTCTTTGGTACGGCTCCTACTGCATTCTAATACTTGAAGAGAAACCCAAACCTAGGTTGCTTAGAAGAGTACCGAGAACTAGAGCTAGGCACTGACACACTTCTGTCCCGCATATTCTCGGAGCAGCCATCCTTCCCTCCCTGCAGGAGGTGCCTCTAGGCCTAGGATGGAATGCACAGCCTGGAAGACATGTCTTCACAGCCTACACCTTGGTGTGGAAGGTTATGTAAGAAAGCTATGAACTATGGATGGGCCAGAGTATAGAATGTTCTTCCCACAAGATGGCCTTCTATAAAAGACTTCATAAACTGTAACAAGTGAGGGCATTTAAAAGCAAGGTCGTGAAGGGAGGCTCTGCCATGTGCACATTACCTCTGTGGGAACGACAAAGGCCTGGGGAAGTCTTGCACATGAGCAAAGGTGACAGGACCTGACATCAGGTGGATTCCCTCGCTGTACTTGTATGTGTTTAAGCTAACTGTAAATGTCACCTCACAGCTTGCTTGTTTTAACAATACAAATGAGAAGTGTTTGTCTGTACTACTGTTGAGCTCAAATGCCTGGAGTTCCTGCATGAAGGTCTAGGAAACAGCCTTTGCTCCTCAGAGACTTAGCCTTGTTGGCCACAGGACAGGTTGACACCTGGGTCCAGCCAAGCACACTACCACCATGTCCTGTTATGTGCTCATACAGGCCACAGGCCAACATTAGGTGTCTTCCTCTATCACTCTTCACCTTAATCTCTGAGACAGCGTCTCACTGAATGCGAAGTTCACCCACTGGTTAGAATGGCTGGCCACTGAGCCCCCAGGATCTACTCTCTCTGCCTCCTAGTGTTAGGGTTCCAAGCAAGCACCGTCCTGTCCAGTTTTCTAGGTGGGTGCTGGGGATTTGAGTCAGGTCTCAGGCTTGTGAAGCAATCCCTCTGGTCATCAAGCCTTCTTCTCATCACCTTTGCTAGCTCTCCCCCAAATACCTCCAGGTTGAGAAGAACCGGGATAGGTCACTCTTTTAGTGCTGCTCTTACCTACTCTCTCTTTGGAAGGGACAGGAATTCAATTCCTCGTTCTATGATAGAGTTATGTGACTCTATACAGTCAAAGATAGAATACTCTCAGACACTCTTGGACCAAAAGGCAGCCACTGGGGATTAGTGGAGGAGAGACCTGGTGAAGATAAAGAGTCACTAGCACGCCCAGCCCAAAGCTCTACCCACCGTCTAATCAACACACTGCTCCACACCCAACGTGGGGTCCCAGTGTGGGGTCCCAGTGTGCCGGGGAAGACACCTGGATGGAGAAGAGGCAGGAAGCAACGAGCTCCCCAAGCCAGGCTTGCCCTAGCACTGAGGACTGACCTCCATCATCTCAAAGATGCTCTCAGGATCCAGGCTTCCTTTCCCCACTTTCCTCATGCATGTCACCACTCCCTTGCTGGTCACCGACACCAGCAAGCTGGCCAGGGAACAGGCCTCCTCCTGAAGTGTGGCGTCCACCACATGCCGGCAGCCAATCTGCAAGATCAAGGCTGCTTAACACACATGGGAACGATTCACCAGAGATCCCAGATGCCCCAACACAAAGCCTGCAAAGCCTGTACACGAAAGGCCCATCCCAGGACTTATTTTAAACTCTGCTCATCTGGAAAATGCTGGAAGGAATGTTCAATACTGTTATCATGGTTCATTGTATGAATAATAAAAAGACAAAAGGGAATCAAGGGGCATGGGAGCACAGACAGTTCACAGGACAGAGGCCACTGGGCTTTCCAAAAGGGGACACACAAGAAATGCACATGAGGCCATGCGCCATCTTGTCCACTCTGACAGTGAATCTAGAGAGCCAAGCCAAGGGACAAGATGGCCCCATCCTCCAGAGTCTGCTCAGTCCCAACACCCTGTCACCTAGCACCCTGTCACCCAGCACTCCGTCACCCAACACCCCATCATCCAACACCCCGTCAACACTGGACTTTCAGTGGAATGAAACACACTTGTCACATTTTTTTTCCTGTTTTGAGACAAGGTCTTGCTATGTAATCCTGCTATTCAAGTACTTGATATAAGCAGGTTTCAAGCTCACAGTGGTCCTCCTGCCCCAGCCTTCTTAGTGCGGACCAGACAACTATAGACACAAGCCACCACAGCTGGCTTAGTTTATATTAACAAGTCTCTGGTATAATTAGTCACAATCTCAGCCAATACAGTTCTGAGGCTATGCTAGATGTCGGGCTCCGAAAATCTCTGGGCTCTGTGCAAATCGTACCTGACACGCGACACCAAGGGACACCCCCCACCCCCAAAGCCCTCAGTTCTGAGATATGGATACCAGGGTCCACAGAGAAATGCTGTTAGAGATCCTGGGTTAGAGGGAGTTCATGAAAATGAGCACAGAGCAGTGCAGGGCTGCAGAGGGAGACAGCCAGCCCCACTTCTATGGCAGGTATTGCTAAGAGACAAGTGCATACCTTGCACAGGGTGACAATGCAGGGGACGTTCTCCACACTCAGCCGGATGCAGTCGTAAGGATCATCAGACAGCTCAATGTCCTTTGCCCCCTCCTCATCCTCCAGAACACGGACCCTTGGTATCCTGGGAACAGACACAATTAAAACTTCCAACTACTGGAAGAAGGAAGCATAACCTTTTCAGAGACTGAGAGCACAAGTTGGAATTCCTGTCTCACAGGCAGGCAGCTCATGAATTCTATCTTGTTTTTATCATCGCCTGTCAAAAGCCAAGGCTAGAGCATCCATGCCAGGGGCCCAGAGTACTAAGTAATATTCAATTTAAGTGGGCAGTAAGCAGTTGAAATTGATTTGGTATGTTAAAAAAGCCTGTACAACACACACGCATGCATGCACAAGGTAAGAGTGAGAGAGGAGAGAGGGAAAGAAGAGGGAGGGAGGGAGGGGGGGAGGGGAGGGAGAGAAAGAGAGAGAGGGAAGAGGGAGAAGAGAGGAGGAAGAGAGAAAGAGAATTTAATTTCCTATCCTTTGCTCCGAACATAGTTGAGCAGAGGCTGGGGAAGACAGTTGGGTGCTGTCAGTTCTTCTAGGGGACTCCAGTAGGAAAGCTCTTTCTGTCCTCTAAGGGCATCATGGGGTCCCTGCTCCTTGCCACTTGGGAGTAAGACTGACATCATCTGGGTAGTTAGGTTTCACAAGCTGCTATCCATTTTCCCAGGACTTCCCTCACATCAGGACAGCAGCCGCCAACTCTCCAGCACTCACAGGAAGCAGCTAGCCAAGGAGACTCATCTCCGGGGTTTAGGACACGTTTGATAGCAACTTCCTTTACTTTATCAACAAAGCCCAGGTGCTGGCTGCTGCAATCTAGCATGTGTGCTTTCTTCATGATTAAGTGCCAGGGCCACTTTAGAAGATCTGAGTGGAGTCCAGCGGGACAGCTGTGTGGAGGCCTCTCCAGTTCCTCGTCTCACAGAACTCCATCTTGCAAGAGCTCATGTAAGTTTAGCTTTGTTTTTATTTGTTCTGTAGTCAACATTTATAACAGAAACATTTATTATCACTAAAACCCCTTTGTGTTAGCTACACGGTCCATAATCCAAGAATGAGCATTTGTGATATTCCTAGACACACTAAACACAACTACCACAGTGAAGTAGAACAACCATCTAACGAGACAGACAGCTACATTTGGGGAGTGTGTCCTTGTCAACAAGCCTCTGAAGATGCTGCTGTGTGCATTTTAACCATTTTAACCTCCGATGTTACAAATCTCGGGTTGTTCAACCTTTTACCATGAAAGACTGGAGGGATGGTCCTGCATAAACATATCTGCTCAGTTATTCAAAGTTTCCTAGTGGCTTGTTTATAAGTGTACAAGTTTACAAAAGTGTCGAGCTCTGAGGGCCACAGGTATCTTCCCTAATCTCCATCTTACTTTTCTGACAGGGTTTCTCGGGGGAACCTTGCTGACTCAGCTAGATAAGTTGACCAGCAGCCTCAATTAAAAGGTTTTTTGTTTTTGTTGAGACAGGGTTTCTCTCTATTACAGCTGTAACTGTCCTGGAACCTGCTTTGTAGAGAACAGGCTGGCCCTGAACTCTCAGAGATCTACCTGGCACTACCTCTTCAGTGACAGGATTAAAGGTGTGTGCTACCACTGCCTGGCTAATTAAAAGTTTTAAAATCTTATATTACCCCATGATACCTCAAGAAATGAACACACATCCACCCACATGTTTACTCAAATGCTAGACTCTCCTCACAGGTATATAATCAGAGAAATGTCAACACTAATCTTAGCTCCCTGTGTGTTCACAGGCTATGCTTACAGCCTATGAAGGGAAACCACAGAAGGGGAACCACTGTTCTTAACCAAAACCAAGTTGCTCCCCTCCTAGAACATTCATGCATATAACCAAGGAATGTGTGAGCACCTACTGTGTGCTAGGTGCTATGGGTAGCAGTGGGACACGAGAAAGTAAAAGGGCCTTTGCAGAGCCCATTCTGTAACAGGCAGTCAGCCTGAAGCGAGGGCTTTTTACTTCTCTTTACATAGTTACATGGCACATGTTGACCAATGAAAACAACACAAAAATAAACATAAAAATATATGTATTTCACTCAGTGTTAGTTTACAAATCCCTTTCCTGGAGTGTAACATTAGATATCACCTCCTTCAACACTAAAGCATTTTAGACAGTACAATTTCCCCGTCAGTGTTTCGTGGTGAGCTCTACCCAGGCTCACGGGACTGCTCTTTAGGAAGACTCACCTTGTGTTGAAGAGAGCAGCTTTCACGGCAATGGAAATAGCATCAAACAAATTCCCACCACATTCCAGCAGCTGAGAGAGAAAGGTACAGAGAGGAAAGAAAAAGTCAGTATTACTTATCACTAAGCATTAACCCAGCTAGGAAACAGATTCCTAAGGCATGCTGAATGCATATTTAAAAAAAATAAAGACATAAAACCAGGTGTGGTGGTTCACATCTGTAATCCCAGAACCCAGGAGGCAGGGGAAGGAGTCTCATCACAGGGGTGAGGCCAGTCAGAGCTATACAACCAGAGTTCAAGGCCAGCCTGGGATACAGTACAACCCTGTCTCAAACCAAAAAAACAAAACCAACCAAACAAACACACAAACAAAAACCCCAAACCACCAAAACACAAACAAAGCTAGGCACAGTGATGTATGCCTTTAATTCCAGCACTTCGAAGGCAGAGGCAGGTGGATCTGAGAGTTCAAGGCCAGCCTGGAACACATAGTGAGTTCCACGACAGCCAGAGCTACACAATGAGACTGATTCTGTCTCAAAGAACAAACAAAACCAATTAACCAACCAGCCAAAATATAAATAAATATATGAGAATAAAGGTAAGAAGGTGGGCTGTCCTCCCCGGCTAGGTGAGCCATGAGGAGGTGACACTGTCCTCCCTGGCTAGGTGAGCCATGAGGAGGTGACACGCTCCCTAACTGTAGTGCTGTTAGTCTGTGGCTGCGGTGACACAGGCACACATGCCGGGTCCCACTGTCCTGCTGCAGCGACAGGGCTCTCAACAGGCAGCTGCCAGTCCCTAGGCAGTGGCTGACTTCATTTTGCCCCAAATGGTTGCCAACTGCACTGCAAGCCTCACTCTAGCCTTCGCTATCAGATGACTGACAAGGATACTTACTGCATGTATGGATTCAGGGGTGCTGCTGGTATGTGGTTAACAAAGCACATATCCACTGCTCAGACTTTATCAGTATGCACTGTACATTAATTATAAAGGCCCAGGTTACCATGGCAGTCTCGCGCTGACAAAGTCAGAGCATACAACACTCAAAAGTAGCAAATGTACTCTCTCAAGAAACCTTTACTTGAGGTTCTTGGAAAAAAGTCAACAACCAGACTCCTCAAGGAGAGAGAAAGTTACATTGTAGAGAGACTCTTTACGTACTGTATGGAAGTGTCATCTGTCAATAAAAAAAGCCCACAGCCAATGAGCTGAGACAGAATAGGAGGTGGGACATCTAGCAGAGGGGAGACAGGGGGTTGGGGGGGAGAGATCTGGGAAATAGACATGGGACTTTCACTCTAGACACGGAAGAAGATGGTTGCATGAAACCAGGTAACCCGGCAGGTTTCATGACTTAGAATAGAATACACAGGTAATGAAGCCATAAGCTAGTCGGGAAACAAGCAAAGCTTTTGGCCTAGGTATTTACTCAGGAGATATTAAGTCTCAGAGTCGTTATTTCTGAGATCGGAGTGGATGGGTGTTACAGATGGCTTTAACTATATTACATGTTGAGAAGTCAAGACTCTCTCCTTCTGGTTTTGATTGACATGCCATGTTTATGTATTTGTGTATCCATCATCCCTCCTGAGAAAGACCCTTAACAACACCCAGCTGTATAGAAACGCTTATTGCTGACCATATACTTAAAACCCAAATGAAAACTTTGAAATTAAAAATTAGAGTATTTTCTCAGGTTTTCGAGAAAAACACCCCATACACATTCCCAAAGGTCTGCCCCTACACATAAGCCCTGGGTGAGTTCTAGGAGGCTACACTGAAGGTAAACTCACAGTTCTTCCTAACCACGCCCAACAGCAGCCTCTAATCCCCAGAGAAGCCTTGTTAGTTACATGCCATCATCTATGTTTATATTGAGTCTAGAAATACACAGCAGCAGTGATTCCAGGTGATTATCTACGTCCTAATCAGAAGCACAGGAAACAGTGTACTCGAATCCTATTGTATGTGCCAGCCTCCCTTGGAGCCCAGCTCCTCCCTCCCTGAGGAGGCCCAGCGCAGGCAGTGGCCTCACACTGGCTGCCTTCTTTACTTCTGTAGGTCTCTGGTCCCCACTGATCAGAAATGAGTCTTGTTCCTTCTCTTCTCTAGGTCTCTACTGTGCACTCACAGAAGGACTGGAAGGCTTAGGAAAAAATCAGTGAAAGGAGCTATCACCCCACACAGATGCCAACCTGCTGGACTCAAACTCTACATCTGTTTGGTACAACCCAGAGGGTCCTTGTTTTTAACTCCCTGATAATGTCTATGGGTAATTTTAAGTACAAATCTGCTATGACTACAATTTTATTATAGAACAGTGTTACATGTACTACTTATTCATGCTTTGTATTTATCTTGTAAATAAAAGAGTATTACAGGAGACCAAAATAACCTGACCATGGATGCTGAAAACACTTTTCCATGAAGTGGAAGGATAGAGGGAGGAAAGAGACCAACAGGTCAATAGGTCTTCAACAAGGGTAGTGACAGGGACATTGCAAGGTAACTCACCAGCACGTCCACATACAGAACCCAGCAGTGCTCCCGAGGACTGATGCAGAGGGACCTCAGATCTACGCTGCTCTTGTTGTTAAATATCCGGTAGAGGGTGTTAGCAATCTCTGTGCCAAGGTCATCGCCTCCTCGCCCTTCAAATTCTGGGGTAGCATTGGCTGAACTACACAAGACAGCAACAGAAAAAGTGAGTGAGTCTCTGTCAGTACAAAGACCTTGTTCTCTGTGGAACGCTGGTGAGCCAGTATCAGGAATGTCACCAGGGCCAAAAGGCAGAGAGCTGTCCTAGCGTGCATGAGGCAAAAGGGGCAAAGAGCAAGGTCACTGAAGTGAGAAACGAGACATGGATGACACTGGATGGCCTTGTGGGCCTACAGGCGTATGCGATGGCCAAGACTGGCATTGTGCCCTGCACCTATCAGTGCATGTGACGGACCTTCAAGCAGAGGAGGAAGAACAGATTGGTGGCAATGCAAATCTCAGCTGGTATAAAGAACTCTTACTTCAGAGTAAAAGGAACACTTCTCTGGCTGGCCTGTAAACCTACGAAGCCTCAAGACTGTGAAGTATGGCTTATTAGAGAGGCCTCCACTCTACACAGCAGTGTAGTAGAACAGGGTCACACCCTCAAGAACGATTTGGGGGAAAAAAAAATATGAGAGCACTGTACTGAGAAGGAAAATGACAACAAACACAACAGTAATATGCTGGCCTGGTAAGTATTCAAATTTGCAGTCATTTAACACAGCGGGGGGGGGGGGGGGATCCTTTTTGGACTCTTGATCCGTATGCCCTATTACCTTCACAAAGAATTAACAAGAGTTCACACAAGCCACTCTAATATGGCTCAAAGGCGTTACAGGACTCTTCTGAGAGTTCTATACTGATTCAAAGCAGCCTACTAAGTCTGTGAGGTAAGTGCACATCACTCATCTGTGTAGTCAGGACAGGTGAGGGCCAGCATCAACTCAGACAAAGTCATGTACACAAGCTTCCTGGAGCTAGCATCAACTCAAATTCTACAAAGTCACGTTCAGAATCTTCCTGGCTCCTGAAAATCTGGAAGGTCATGGCTGGAGACTGGGAAAGATGAATGGGGGTTGTGGGGGATATATATGGATGTATATGCCTTATTCCTGAAGGGTGAAGAAGGCACAGACCGCAGAGAAGCAGGAATGAAAGCAACAAGAGAGAGAGAGGCTTCAGGGAAACGATGCCAGCATGGTGGCCCACAGCTGGGCCCATGTATCTATTTAATGGTGAAAAGAACTACTTAGTGGTATAGTCTAAGAATAAATCACAGGGCAGCATTTATTGTATAATAGTTTTGATGCTCTAATTGCCAGCTTTTCCCTTATACCATCAGCAAGCAGAACCTGAATTAAAGAGCACAGAGAAGTTCACTGCCACCACAGCAATATGGCAATTCCCAAACTCTGTTGTCAGCCTCAGCTACAGCAATGAAAAGCAGCTGTTATGGAGGAACAGTCAGGACCATGGACCAAGCCTTTCCACAGGCGATATTAAGTCCTATGTGGTTATGTGCTTAACACTCCCCCTCCCTCTCCCTCCCCCCGGCCCCTGCCCCCTCTGATGCTTGCCCTTGGTTCTTACATTCACTGAACACAGCAGACACATTCTCAACTTCCCAGCCCCAGGACAAACCGTTAATCTTCTACACTGTCTACACTAACCTGTCCACAAAGCCGGACCCCATTATTTCCTTGGGACTAAGTGAATTTAGAGCAAATTTTGTCTATTTAAAAGCCTTTTATGTTTGAACATACCACTCTTTTAGCATAGTTCACAATCAGGCAGAGAGGAAGACTAGAGGCTTTTGTAATCATGGCCCGGTACTATCTGCATGGCCCCTAGTTGTAGGGTGACTACAGAGGAGAGCAAGGAGAGAGGAGGTGAGTGGGGAACAGAGAGATGCTGGAGAGGTGACTCCGTGGTTAAGAGCACTGTCTGCTCTTTGAGAAGACCCTGTTCCTATTCCTAGCACCCACTCGGCTGTTTACAACCGCCTGTGACTCCAGTCTCAGGGGATCTGACAATCTCTTCCGGCCTCCATGGGGCACCCAGATGCATAAAATAAAAAATAAAAATAAAGTGAGGAAAAAGTTAGAGGGCCTATATCCCGGCAAAGAAGAAACAGGCAAGGTAGAGAAATGAGTGCTCTGTCCCATCACTGAGACTAACACAGGGACCTCTGCAACTGAGCTGAGCAGAGAGGAGGGGGCACAGAGATGAAAACCAAATGCCCTCACAGGTAACAGCACACACCCAAAGAAAAGGTCCCCACAACAGTAAGCAACACATTCAATAAGGGAGACACTGGCCTTTCCCAGGTCTGATAAAAGGCATTTTAATTCCTTTGATAGCAGGGTATGGTGGCACAACCTTTAATCCCGGCACTCAAGAAGGCAGAGACAAGTTTGTTCGTTCATTTGTTTGTTTCTTTCTTTTTTTCTTCTTCTTGATTTTTTTGAGACAGGGTTTCTCTGTGTAGCCCTGGCTGTTCTGGAACTTGCTCTGTAGGCCAAGCTGGCCTTGAACTCAGAGATCTGCTAGCTTCTGCCTCCCAAGTGGTAGGATTAAAGGTGTGTGCCACCACTGCCCAGCAAGACAGTGTCTTAAAAAGATTCTCTAGAAAAATAAAGCACCACATAAGAGAAACTAAAATCTTACAGCTGACCTGTGGCCTATAAGGTCCAAAGGAAGCGTTCCCATTTTACAGAGTAACAAATACAAACAATTTAACAAATGTTTACTATGTGCTACACACAACTCTTAGCACTTCAGATGTAGCAGGCCATTTTGTCTAAATAGCAATTCTAGCCAGCGCCAGCTGTCTTATCTATCTTAATTTTATTGGTACCCGGAAATAAAACTGGAGTTCACAAATGCCAGGGAAGCTCTTTACCACCGAGCCACACCCTCACCCTCTGACACAACTCAGTTGAGGAGCTGCTTAACTTGCTGTAGATGAACAGTGTCTAAGCAGCTAAGGGGCTAACTCAGGCACCTCAGGCCTGACCAGCAAGGAGCTAAGGG